GAGAGAACAAATTCGTCTCCAGAAAAATACATAAACAAAATGTTCAAGTCTTGACCCAAAAAAAACAAAACAAAATGTTCAAGAGCTCTTGCTAATTAAATCTCCACTCAAACTTTTCAAAATTTCTGTATCCATCCATCCATCCAACACAGCTTGATTACAGATGATCATGTTGCTGGTGCAAATTCAATAATCTAACCAAATGCAGGGTTTTGTTTTTCTAATAGAAAACAGTCAGTCTATCAATTTACATTTTCCAGAAGTCGATGGGATGGGAACACACTTGGAACTAAAACGGAAAAAGAGACGAAATGAACCATTCAAACACGTGATTTCTTCTTCTTGTTTTGGCTGCTACTTCATGCTAGACAAAAGTTCTCTCTGGGTTTTGTTACATACAATATGTGATAGAATAATTAACGATATTGATTATTTTAAAAAACACAAGAAAGGTAAAGAAAACTTACGGTGCGAAGCAGAACTGGAGCGTGACCCAATCATGGCCCTTGATATTTACAGAACAAACTGTTGAATGTAGAGTCTTGATCAAATGTGTTCCTCCTTCTCCAACAACAATTCAAAATGTGGTCATACAAAGATACTGAACCTCGCGTGGTGCAATATTGCAACTGCCAATCATGATGACATGAAAAAAGTCAAGCTTCCATAAATGAACCAAATACTCTGTACTAATAAGATCATAAAATGGCAACGGATGACGGGCAATCTTCAGGCCTTGCAATTGAAACAGTTTGCTTAGTGAATATGCAACACCACCGTCATCATCTTTGTCCATTCTAAAGGAGTATGCTATAATCTCCTCATTGCTAAGCCCATGTAAGGCATGTATAGTCTTCCCTACAACCACTTGCCTCCCTTTGAAAGGAGCATAAGTACAAGTGTCAACTTTTCACTTGATTCCATTCTTTTCCCTTTCCACTCTCATGAAAAGCAAAGAGAGTGTAGTTCTTGGGGCCGGAAAATGAAAACAAAATAGCACCATAACAAACGGCATAACCACTTATTCCCATGACGGAGAGTAGTGTATATATCATCATAAAACGGAAAAGGAGGCATTGGCTGGAAAACTTACGGTGCGAAGCAGAACTGGAGGCATTGGCTCCCAAACCTTCTGATTGGAATCGTATCTCTCAAAGCTTGGATCATCCAGATATGATAGGATGCATGGAGATGCAAGATAATACAATTTGTCATAAGCAGAGTACACAGCAGTTGCAAATGCCTTAGATGATATGGAATTACTGCCCTAGTATCGGTGTAAAAAACATATCCTCCAAATGTTGCAGTGGAGAAGGCCCCCTCATAATTCACACCGAGACCGTCCTGTTGAAGTAAGTATAAGCTAGAGCAGATCCACGTACTCTGAAGGGGATGATTATGCCAGAACTTATTCCGCCGAGGCCACCGAAGTTTTGGATTTATTATTATTATTCCGACGCTCAATGATATATATACAAGAGAGACTCTGACTGATCGATATACCTGATGATGATTAGAGAAAGGAATGGATAGACAGAACAAGGAGATTAGGTAGAAGAAGAGAAGGAGAGATTAAGGTTAAGAAGACAGAGAATTAATTCTAGGGAGGATAAAATCCATCCAAGTCTCAATTACAAAGCATGTATTTATAATATTGATACTCCCTTCTAAATCCTAAACCTAGTAGAACAGGAAACTAACAAATAAGATTTCATTCATTTTAAGTATGATTAACCTTGTTCTTAATTTTAATTATGATTTCTATTTAATGTCGGTATTGTAATGTGTGGTTTGTATGAGGAGCTGAGGAAGCTGGGGATAGAAGTTAGAACAGCAACTTTGGCTAGCCCATCTCAGTTTCTAGTAATCATAAATCTGCTTCAGATTTTGACACCTCTTCATGATAGATGCTGCTGCCCTCAGATTGTTGCTTATATCAATTCTTTTTTTGTACTCCTTTTCTTTACATGAAATTCTAGTGCAAACTCTCTCTCTCTCTCTCTCTCTCTCTCTCTCTCTCTCTCTCTCTCTCTCTCTCTCTCTCTCTCTCTCTCTCTCTCTCTCTCTCTCTCTCTCTCTCTCTCTCTCTCTCTCTCTCTCTCTCTCTCTCTCTCTCTCTCTCTCTCTCTCTCTCTCTCTCTCTCTCTCTCTCTCTCTCTCTCTCTCTCTCTCTCTCTCTCTCTCTCTCTCTCTCTCTCTCTCTCTCTCTCTCTCTCTCTCTCTCTCTCTCTCTCTCTCTCTCTCTCTCTCTCTCTCTCTCTCTCTCTCTCTCTCTCTCTCTCTCTCTCTCTCTCTCTCTCTCTCTCTCTCTCTCTCTCTCTCTCTCTCTCTCTCTCTCTCTCTCTCTCTCTCTCTCTCTCTCTCTCTCTCTCTCTCTCTCTCTCTCTCTCTCTCTCTCTCTCTCTCTCTCTCTCTCTCTCTCTCTCTCTCTCTCTCTCTCTCTCTCTCTCTCTCTCTCTCTCTCTCTCTCTCTCTCTCTCTCTCTCTCTCTCTCTCTCTCTCTCTCTCACACACACACACACACACATAAGAACTAGAATCCGCTGTATAATTAAACTGAGCTGGTATTGTAGTACGGATGTAACTCCATTTTTTCGTGCAATCAAATTCACATTTTTGTTTTCTTGTGAAGGTTTGCAAATCGAGAGTTTGTAATTTCTCCTCCTCTGCCCTCCTTTATATGGTCATAATTAAATATGTTGTTTCAGCACGACGTAGAACTTCTATGAGGGGCTATGTTGAAGGGTTCAATTCAGTTTCATTGATCCGATGGTTATTAAGGACTCCCTCGTTACAGCCTCACTCCTCTTCCTATATGGTGGGTAGGACTGTTGTTCACAGTCATCTTTCTAATAATGCGGGCCAACAAAGAAGGACTGGAATGCCGATATCGCTCCATTGTATGGGGCTCAGAATCTAAAACATAAACTGCAAATAACTGAGCTATGGGTTCTTCAGTAGGTAATGTAATTATTTTTATATAAAAAATTAGTAAAATGAATTTAATTCTTTGGAAAATGGAAATCGCCAAAGAGAAAACAACATAAGCAACTCTGCACGCCAACTTGCTTTGTTGTGACCCCCTAAATTGAGGATCATGAATCATGATAGATAAATGGTAGACAAAGAGAAGTAAGTCGTAAGCTTGTTTGCTCTTCAAGTTCAAAGTCAACCTGCTTTTATGGAAGGAGCTTGTGACTTGTGGCACTTCCTACATACATGCCCTTAAAAGGAGGAAATTAAAATTTTATTATTTTTTAAAAAGAAGCTATTTAACTACAAAAAAAAAGTTGATGAGCTTTTTCTCCACTATGTATATTAAAAAGTTTCACCAAAAGGGAATAACGTATAAAAATCAAATAAAATAAATGAGACTTTACTTTCATGCCAAGAGGGTTTATAAATAATAAAGCCTACATATCTTAAGCCTTCCTACCTATAGACACATTTTCCAACTGCGTTGCTCCCAACCACTTCCCATTGTTCATTTCTTTGGCTTGGAAACAATGGAATTTTGGAAGGAAAAAAAAATTAAATATTTCCAAGAATAATTACATTCTTTTAAAAAGACGCTTGGGGTTAGTCCAAGTGACGAGGAATAGTCGAGTATTGGGTCAGGATTAGGATAGGTGCAGGTTCGAATTCCTTTGTATTATTTGAGGGTAAATTTTGATTAAAAAATGCGAGACAGGGTTCAAGTAATGATGAAGAAGATCAGCCACATTCATGAAATGTATATATCGTTGGGTCCATATTTCTCTTCTGCCATAACCAAAGCATGCGACAGGAATGTGATTTGTCTGGTAGTACCCTGGACCATTGATCAACAGTGTCATCTTACAAAGCCAACTTGTTGCTTAAAATCCATTGACCATTACCAATCCATGATAATTGATCTTTTATTTTTCACCGAAATCTGAGATGATGCAGTCACACTTTGCTTTCTGCATATTTTTTTGTATCTTCGTATCATCGTCACATGATGATGTTATTGTGATTTATTAATATTACTCTTCTATTCACTCATATTATAACACATTGAAAAGACAAAACAATCAACCAACTCCCTTTTTAGACTAAAAAATATAAAGGTGAAAATGAGAAGTAGATGCCAAGTTATAAAGATGTCCGTGACTGAAGGGCCTGACCATTTTAGTCTGTGGTCATTGGGTGACCTGCTGCAAATCAGTCTTTAGAAATGGCACGCACTGCCAGGTGTCTCTAGGTTTTTACAATTGAGTTAGAGAAGAGAAAGCAGGCCCCATTAGAAGCAAATTACTTGTTGTTCTTGTTCTGAAGCTATGATGGGGAACATGTGTTGCCTTGTGGACCTGCCTTCTGAAAATATACATGTACATGAAAAAGTGAATGAAAACATTAGAAAAGTGAAAACAATATGATTATTATAAGAAAACCCTTTTCGACAAAAAGGTCAAAGAGAACAAATTCATCTCCAGATAAATACACAAAGAAAATGTTTAAGAGCTCTTGCTAATTAAATCTCCACTCAAACTTTTTAAAATTTCTGTATCCATCCAATACAGCTTGATTACAGATGATCATGTTGCGGGTGTAAATTTTTAAAAAGATTTGCCAGTCAAAACCAATATGCAGGGTTTTGTTTTCTAATAGTAAACAGTCAGTCCATCAATTTCCAGATCTTCTCCGAATTAGAAAACTAGATATGGGATTGTACTTGGAGATCAAGAAAAGTTAATCAATCAAGCCAGTTTTGGGAAAACCAAAAAGGAACTGCAAAGCTCAACTGCCAATACCCCTCATGAATCATGATGATACTGTCAAAGAAAGACTTATACTAATATCAGGAATATGTAGAAGTGAAATTAGATAAATAAAAATAGATGCCATTTCCACGCAATTTCTGAGATAGAAAGTAATCTTTGTAAAAGCCACTTTCCACGGATCATGCTCAAATTTGTTACTTTGTTGAAAAGGAAGCATATGACAGAAACAACAAAACTGAAATTTCTGAAAATTAATTCAGAGCTCTAATAAAGCAACCCTTGTGCTGCTGACTCAGCTAGCCCAAATAGGCACACACCAGACTCACTATAGTCATTGTGTCTCTCATCCATCTCTTTCAACACCATTTTCAGGCCTGCAAGCAAAAAGCTAGAATGGTAATGATAATAAAAAACAAGGTATGCCATTTATATAGTGCCCTACACTCTCCCCCTCCATGCCCTCCACTGAGCAACATTTAAGCAAGGCTCTCTTTCTCTCCAAGGGCCTTGTCTAGTTGCATTCATCTTCCCTTCCTCACTTCTGAAACCATGTATTCTTCTCAAAGATGGAAGACCATGGCAATGGCTGCAGTAGTTGTGCTTCAGCTCTGGTTTTCCATGGAGGTTGAGTCTTCTTCTTCTCATCATCCTGATCACAACATAACTAGGCTTCCAGGCCAACCCCATGTGGACTTTCAACATTTCTCAGGTTATATTACTGTGGATGATCAGAAGCATAAAGCTCTATTTTACTACTTTGTTGAAGCAGAAATAAATCCAGCTTCAAAGCCTTTGGTCCTCTGGTTGAATGGAGGTCTGTTAACTCCCCTTACTTGCTTCAATGTAAATCAAATAGATATATGTAAGTGAGAAATGTAGGAAAGAACTGAGAAGCATCATTAATTGATGTGTAATTTTCTGTTTCATTTAGGACCTGGTTGTTCTTCTCTTGGGGTAGGGGCATTTTCTGAAAATGGACCTTTTAGACCAGATGGTGAGGTCCTGGTTAGGAATGAGTACAGCTGGAACAGAGGTAATGCCATAAATATATTAGCTGTAGCCATTGGCCGCCAAAAAAGAAAAAGAAAATAGTTGCTGCATGATTTGGCAATTGATATTTTCATTTTCATTTGATATTGCAGAGGCAAATATGTTGTATTTAGAGACACCAGTTGGAGTGGGGTTCTCTTATTCTAAATCAAGCTCCTCCTATGTGGCAGTGGATGATGAGGCAACAGGTATATATATATGTGTGTGTGTTCTCATCAGTTCCAAATACACGTTCATCCTTTTGTTTCTTGCTTTCTACTTTTCTCCCTTTCGAAAAATTATGGTTTGCCCAGTGGAAGACATATTAAAGTTTGCTTAGACTTTTCAATAAGTGACATTTAAGCAGTGTTTCATTTTTCACACTATAACAGTGTAACTTTTGTTTTGCACTTCCAAAGTTCCAATGGAGGGTTCAAAACTATTAACAGTCACCAGTATTAACAAGCACTTTTTAATCTCACTTCTTTGTTCCTAAATTCTGAATTTAGAACTTATGGAATATTTGAATTTTGTGTCTGCATTTGATTTCTTAAGCAAGGGACAATCTTGTATTCTTGCAACGCTGGTTCAACAAGTTCCCCCAATACAAGCACAGGGATCTGTTTCTAACAGGAGAAAGTTATGCAGGTACCTTTGTAAATATAAGTTGACTTGTTGAGAAATGCTTTTTAATTTCCTGTTTCATCCTTTTTTCTTATTATCATTTTGTTGCTGCTTATTATTAATTCCAGGTCACTACATTCCACAACTTGCAAATCTTATGGTTGAAATTAACAGAAAGGAAAAGTTGTTCAGTCTAAAAGGAATTGCTGTGAGTAGAACTTTAATAAAGTTTGGATTTTGACTGACCAAAAAAACATAAAAGGAAAATATTTTATATTTATTCTCTCTCACTGCAGCTGGGAAATCCTGTTCTAGAATTTTCCACTGACTTCAACTCAAGAGCTGAGTTCTTCTGGTCTCATGGACTAATATCAGATTCAACATACAACATGTTCACTTCTGTTTGTAACTATTCGCGATATGTGAGTGAGTACTATAGAGACTCAGTTTCACCTTCTTGTTCAAAAGTAATGAGCCAAGTGAGCAGAGAAACCAGTAAATTTGTGGACAAGTATGATGTTACACTTGATGTCTGCATTTCATCTGTGCTCTCACAATCAAAGGTTATAAGCCCCAATGTTAGTAAGCCTTCTCTTCCTTTTAACTTATGGTATGTCTTTTTCATTTTTTTCATTTTTTCATTTTTTGGTGTTACATATCTGAACTCTTCATATCATGTGACAGCAAATGACTGAGAGGATAGATGTATGTGTTGAAGACAAAATTGTGAATTATTTGAACCGGAAAGACGTGCAAAAGGCTCTACATGCTAGGCTTGTCGGAGTTCGCAGATGGGATGTTTGCAGCAAGTAATTCGTTTCTTTCTGGAGATTAAATACATATGAAGCAATGCTTGTTTAGAACAATAAGAACCAACTTATCAAAACTGATATTGGGGTCTATTATATTAAATTTATAAAATATACAATCTTTTCAGTCACTAACTGAAATTTCATGTTGATACTAGCATTTTGGACTATCAAGTGCTCAACCTGGAAATACCTACAATCTCATTAGTTGGATCACTTGTCAAGGCCGGAATCCCGGTGTTAGTTTACAGGTACTTGTAACTGGAAATACACTTCTTGCATGATCTTGATCAAATTATTATTCTTGAATGATATATAGATACTTGTAACTGGTATAAAAGTAAAACTCAATAAAATTTCTCAATTCAGTGGAGATCAGGATTCTGTAATTCCTTTGACGGGAAGCCGCACCTTGGTCTATAGATTGGCAAGGGAGTTGGGATTGAACACCACTGTCCCTTACAGAGTTTGGTTCGAGGGAAAGCAGGTATATTGCAGTGCTTAGGATTATGCATTGCACATTCATTTCATACCTTTATCTTTAAATTTCTGGTCAGCCTTTTTTTTTCTCTTTCTTTCTCATTCTAAGATTTTATTTGTGATGAGTTTGTCTGCCATCAGATGGAGTGATATAAACTCAAATCTGGTTTCATATCATTTCTATTTGTTCTTCTGTCCAGGTTGGTGGGTGGACCCAAGTGTATGGTAACATACTTTCATTTGCCACCATCAGAGGTGCCTCTCATGAAGCTCCTTTCTCACAGCCTGAGAGATCACTCAGGCTTTTCAAGTCATTTCTTGAAGGCAGGCCTCTGCCTGAAGTTTTCTGATACATTGTTTAGGTCCATAGTGATTGAGTTTGCAAGTAAATCTGCTGTGCCATACATGGGTGCTGAAGATTTCTTTCAATTTGCAAAAAGAGAAAGAGGTAGTTTTGTGTGTGTGTGTGTGTGTGTGTGTTTTGTTTTCTACTATTTGTGAATGTAAATGACTCTTTGGGTTGGAAATTTTTTGTAAAGTTCAAAGGCTTGTTGTTTCTTCAATTGATTTGATTGATTCACAAAAACTCTTTTTTGACTTTGACTTAGGAGAGGATATAATAAATGCAAGCTCTAATCACTGCCATACAGACAATTATCAACATGTTTTACCGGTAGAGATGTTTAATTAACATCAATTTTAACACAACATTAATCATCTGTCCAAACTTGTTTATTGGGTATCCATTTTTCTTTCTTCTTGCTTGGTCCCAAGACCGCCCCACCACTTCAATGACAAGTTTTCCTCAGAAAATTAAACTCATTTCCTTTTCAATTAGTGCTTCCCAAAAAGAAAAGACCCGTTGGAGATCTAGACAACAAAGTATACATAATAATTAAATTATCAAACAATCAGTGGATCTCTTCAGGAAACAAAATATATATATATATAAAATATCAGTGGGTCTCAAGCGTTATACAATTATATACTTATATAAACACATAGGCTGATTAAACAAAAGAAAGCCAAAGCAAATGAGAGTGATCCTCATCATCATCATCATCATAGCTTGAATTGAAGCAACAACAACATCTACCAATTCCCAAAGCCCCATCTTACAGTTTCAGACCAAAAACCAGCAACCTCCATTTCATAACAAGTTTTAAGCCAAAAAAAGACCCCCACTTGCCTACCTACCCACTACTATATCTCTACACCGTATAGTTTTCAGTTTTCAGAAGAGAAAAACTGAAAAGGCGCCAACTTCCAACTCTCGCACTTTTTTTGTTCCTTAAAAAAGCGAACTGCTTTTTATATTTTTGAGTTTATATACTTAGCCTGTACAGTTTTTTCTCTCTCCCTCCAACTGGCTTCAAGGACAGACAGAGAGTGGTACCCTCCCATTATTTTTATTTTTCTAAAGAAACCCCAACATCCCAAAAATAAACATTATGGCAAAAGAGCAAAGCCAGGAGCCTGCCATCATCAGCCCTCTGCAGGTCCAGGTATTGCTCCGTTCCCTTTAATTGTTTTTCTTTTTTGTTTAAACCCAAATAATTAAAATCTCATGCATTTTTCATCGTTAGGGATCTGGGTTTTCTTTGTATTACATAAATTAAGCAGCTTTTATTGACTTTTTAACAAGTGAAATAGATTGGGGTATCTGATTTCATATTGTTGTTTATATGTTGAAATTGCAGGACAAAGGGGAAGACAAGGAGTTGGACCCTGGATCTGACGAGCCTGAGGCCCCTTTGCCTCTCACAGTCACTTCCCGGGTTAGTAACTTTTATATGATATTGATTCTTTCTATAAAACCAGAAAGAGGAAAGAACAAATGGGCATTATGTTTTTGTATAGTTAGGTTCCTTGGAATGCGGGTGTTTTGTATTTATTTTCCACAGAAAGACAGATAGTGACTGTATTTTTTTAGACAAACAAAGATGAAACTAAACATGGATAGGGTGTATTGGCAATGCAGGTCTTGTATATGTTGGGTGACATTGCCGCAGGGCCTGCGTATAGAATCACGCAATGGCTGGAATTGGTTCGTAAACGGAGTTCCCGATATCATTCCTCTGGCTTCCCCCACAGCCTTCCGAGGTTTAACAGTATGCCTTTTAGGTTTGTTTCAACTTTTTGTTTATGTGCATTGAAATGTGGTTAAATCTCTGTAAGAGGAAATTTTCGATGTTGCATTGTAGTCATCATGGTTGCTATTCAGTGCAGGAGAATCTGTTGATGACTGGGCAGATCATCTGCCTACTGAGCAAACCACAGAAGTCAATCTCTGGGAAAGACTTGGTAAAGCTGCTACATTGGACATTGAGTCAAGTTCTTTCTCCTGGGATAGGCTTTCTTCGCTTCACCACACTGAACATAGTAGTAGCAATGACAATTCTGAGGATGAAATGAATAAAGCACTTGAGGTGTGCAATCTCCTTTAACTACAGTACATGGAATATCATGCAAAGAAGAAATACATGCATCATTGATTATATTCTTATCTGCTGCCTTGTCATCTCTTCAGTTGTGTGCATATAGGTCACTGTGAATTCGGGGGGAGTTGTCTTCTTTGCCCTATTCAACCAGCCAGGGAATGAAGATGCTTTTCCTAAGGAAGCTGTAGCTGTTATAAAGATATCGTCGTCAAGGATGGCCACACAATCTGAACGTCTTGGTTATGAATTTGCAAAGTGCCTTGGTGTTCGAATTCCACAGGTTGTAACTTTGTCACTCCTGCAATCATATTATAACTAGTCTTGTTCGTTAGGCTTTTTAGCGCTTGATGTGGAGTCATTTTCCGCTCTTGCCAACACCATAATATGTATATTTTGTCTGTTGGGTATTGCAGGCCAGAGTCATTCATAATTGTAGCTCTGAGTGGCTCCAGATGAAGGAAGCTGCAGAGAAGGCAAGAGATGTAGCAAGTTCAGAAGGGGATGAATGTGGCGAAATGACATGTTCAGAACTTTTGGAAGCTCTTGAACTTAGCCGATGCCTTTTGCTTATGAGGTCTAACTACGATCTTAGTGTTTCTATTTTTTTAATGTAAATGAGTTAATCCTGCAGCATAAAATATACTGGCTTCATTCACCATCTAGTGCCTATTTTTTTATGGCGTAGGGATAGACTAGTCAATTAACATATCATCTTTTATATGTTATTCTACTATATCGGCCTGCATAGATGATAACGGTATTTTGCTGGAGCTTATTTGCCTTATCCACTATTGTTGAGAAGTACAGGGTCATTTGACTCAGAATTTCCGTAGGTTCTACGAGATTGTTACCTACATGCACATGACTAGTTAGAGCATGTAAAGAAGTTTCTATTGATTGCTGGTCATTACACATGAAATTAAAATGTTAACCTGATATTCTAGAACATGTTCAATGGTCCCTTCCACAATACGCATAATAGCAAATTAATGAGCATGATGTTCCATCATGTGCAGCACTAGAAAATGCTTCCCAGTAGATAACTGAATCTTTTATATGGTGTTACTGAAACCAAAACTTTAATCTTTGCAGCTATGTTCATGGATCTCCTTTACTTGAAAGCTCAAATGTATTTGAGTCAAAGGAAACTGCGGAAAAAACAGCAGCTGCTCTTGGTAGGATCCTGATGTTGGATCTTGTCATCAGAAATGAAGATAGGCTTCCTTGCCGTCAGCTCAGATGGCGTGGAAATTCTGCAAATCTATTGTTGGCTGACAAAACGACTTTTGCAAACATGGACAGATTGGAGGAAGCCTTCGATTCTGCAATCAAGCGATACAAACCAAGAGTGATCAGAGGTCTTCATAAGGATAGAAGGGCAACTTCAGTAGATAGCAAACTGAGTGCCCATAATTCAGGACTGGTATCACAGACCTCTGATCTTTCAGATATTATAGAGTCACCAAGATCCATAAAGAGTCAACTATCAGATGATTCAATTTTATCTGATTTTCCAATTGTGGCTATTGACTCTGGTGTTCCCCGTCGGCCTCCTGCTGGAAAACGTGCAAATGACCAGGAAATTTATCCTAAGCTGGTTGAGTTACTACTCAATAGTTCCGAGTACTCCTCTAATGTGTTACATGACATAACATTAGGGAAACTAGGACGTCCTCCTTTACAAGACATTGATGCATCTGATACACGAGCAGTTTATGAAAGGACTTCAGTTGTTCAAGAGTTCCGTAATGGATTCCGAGCTGCTCTTAGGGATCTACAAGGCTTCCATATATTCTTACTCACGCTTCACCAAAAACTGGAGAACTTGCTACGAATATTTTTTAATATTATAGATAAAATATCTTCAGGGGAGTCTGACAAAGAGGATTTGGCAGTTCCTGAGTCGCCCTCACTTGCTTCTGGAAGTGTTAATTTCCCTTTTTCACCAAGCAAGGACCGGCTTATCAATGAGAACCATCCAGATAGTGATTCTGAATTGCACAGAACTGCTCCAAGGTCTTCATATTCGGGAAATAAAGAAAGCTCAGACTTGAGCTCTCCCATGTCACGGGATAGTTGTCATGGGAGGTTCTCTAAAGGGAGTGCAGAGCCCCTCCGTAGTCTGCGTTTGACAGCAAAGCTCCGGGACTTCCATAAATATGCCAAGGTTAGAAAATTACTTAAACAAAAACTGTGTTATACTGCAGATGATGAAACGGAAAGTCCTTTTTATAATACATAATTCTTCTTCAACTTTAACATTACAATGCTCAGGTCGATGCGGAATCAAACAAAGAATTGGAACAGTGGAATGAAATGTTAAAGAGCGATGCTATCAAACTCTGCCAGGAGAACAATTTTAATGCTGGGTATTTTGAGGGTAGTGACAATAACGGTGTTGTTGATGCTTATGAATTGAAGGTAATCTTTGCCTTCCACTCTGTGTGTGTCTGTCTCCTTTCCTTTTGTCTTCCTTTAACCATTGTATCTACAAATAACAGGTCAGACTTGAGCACATACTTGAGAGGATTGCATTGATATCTGGGGCTGCAAACACAGAGAGGCCATCTCCAATCACAAGTTGCCTGTTCATCGGCGGGGCCCTGGCTGCACGATCTGTATTCACCCTGCAACGCTTAGGAATTACTCATATATTGTGTTTGTGTTCCAATGAAATTGGACAATCAGATTCACAGTTTCCTGATCTATTCGAGTACAAAAACTTTTCTGTGAGTTAGCTTTCTCATATGTGAACATATTTCATATATGTTTAATGCACGCATCTCCAACCATCTCCATTAAGATGAAAGTCTTTGTTGAACATGGATCCCCAACTCTCCATGTATTATTTTCATCATACTTTTTGCACCTGCATTGTCCTGATTAAACTACCCATTCCCTTTGCACAGATATGCGACAATGACGATTCAAACATCAGCGGCATCTTTGATGAAGCTATCAGTTTTATTGATCATGTTGAACAAATAGGAGGGAAGGTTCTGGTCCATTGCTTCGAGGGGAGAAGCAGAAGTGCCACGCTGGTGCTTGCATACCTAATGCTCAGAAAGTAAGTAGAATCCACAGCCTCTGGCATCAGCCAACCTTGGATATTCTTTTTCTTCTGTTAAATGTGATTTCAACAAGATTACTTCAGGAAATATTTTGGTAAATAATCTTTCTATGGTGCAGGAACCGCACTCTATTAGAAGCATGGAATTCTCTAAAACAAGTTCATCGCCGAGCGCAACCCAATGATGGTTTTGCAAAAGTCCTATTGAATCTGGATAAGAAACTTCATGGGAAAGTTTCCATGGAATGGCAACAGCGGAAGCCAACGATGAAAGTTTGCCCTATCTGTGGGGTGAATGCAGGTCTGAGTAGCAGCTCACTTAAGCTTCATTTGCAGAAATCACACAAGAAACTATCATCAGGTAGTGTGGATAGTGCAATGACAATGGAAATACAAAAGGCCTTGACTGCACTAAAAATGAGTCGAGGTGGAAGCGTCAGCCCTAAACAGAGGCATTCTCATTCAGATGTGGAAGATTAGAGATTTCCAAGCTGCTTTTTTTTTTTCTATAAGGTGGACTATTAGTTTCATAATGTGGTCGATCAATCTTGTAGATATATAGAGATTGTAGAAGTGTCTTTTAATCAAGGAATTGTGCGGTGGGTTTTTGCGCATCCGGGGCTTCCAAGTTTAAACGTATCATAAATAGATTCTCAAGAGTTTAGAGATCTAAAGTTAATCTGCCATGCCCTTTGTTTCATGCGTGCATAAATGAACATCAGCAATTCTCCTTTAACTCAAAAATGACTTTGTTAATAACTGATGTTAAACATAGAGCTACTATATGACTAATGAACAGCATAGAACTTAAGAACAACCCAAGGATAAAATTACCGGGTTAAACAGCATGAATGTGTTAAAATTCTTTATTAGAAATACTAGCATTCCCAACACTAATTCCACCACAGGAGGGGTCTAAAAGAAAAAGTACTAACCCTACTATTTGTGACTGAACTATGCATGCTATTCTTCTGTATAAACTGGTACAGCCTTGAACAGTCAAGTCAACCATTAAACAAACAGCTTTCAATTACCGCTACCAACTAGTCCTTTTTGGAGTAAACAGACTGTTCAATTGCAAAGCGCAAATGAAAAAAATACAAACATATTGGCAAAAGATTAACAAAAGCGGCTATGTTAACATTCAAACAGGGATTGCCTCGGGCAAAGACTCGGGAGAACCACTGCTACCATTGAGCACAGTCACATTGCCATCAGAATCGACATCCACAATAACCGAGTCGCCTTCCTTGATCTCCCTTGCAAGCATCTTCTCAGCCATGCTGTCCTCCAAAAGTCTCATTATGGCTCTTCTTAGAGGCCTTGCTCCATAACTTGGGTTGTATCCTTCGTCAACCACTCTATCTCTAAACCTCTCTGTCACTTGAAGCTCTATCTCTTTAACCCTCAACCTCTCGAAAACCTCCTTGAGCATTATATCTGCTATTTCCTTTACCTCCAGCTTAGTGAGTTGTCGGAAGACAATCATTTCATCCAACCTATTCAAGAACTCTGGTCTAAAGTACTGTTTTAGTTCCTCTGTCACCAAGCTCTTAATTCTATTGTAACTGCTATCCTTCTCATCGTAATCAAGGTCAAATCCTATACGACGGCCTCCTTTCTCAATTACACTGCTTCCAACATTAGACGTCATTATCAGAAGTGTATTCTTGAAATCCACAGTTCTGCCCTTGCTGTCAGTCAATCTTCCATCCTCAAGTATTTGAAGCATCATGTTGAAGACATCAGGATGAGCCTTCTCAATCTCATCAAAAAGCACCACAGTGTAAGGACGGCGTCGAACGGCTTCAGTCAGCTGACCTCCCTCAGTGTAACCAACATAACCTGGGGGAGAACCAATGAGCTTGGAAACAGTGTGCCTTTCCATGAACTCACTCATATCAAGCCGAATCATGGCTTCTTCAGAACCGAAGTAGTAAGCAGCCAAAGCTTTTGCGAGCTCAGATTTCCCAACACCAGTTGGACCAGAAAAGATGAAACTGGCAATAGGACGATTAGGATTCTTCAGTCCAACACGAGCACGGCGAATAGCACGACTAATAGCCTTGACTGCTTCATCCTGACCAATGACTCGCGTATGGAGGGTCTCTTCCATCTTGAGGAGGCGGTCCGATTCATCAGTTGACACCTTCTCAACTGGAATGCCAGTCCAGGAGGACACAATATGTTGAATATCCACTTCAGTCACGAGAGGACCTACATCTCCTGCCTCACTCTCTGCCTTACTCATCTCCTTGCCTTTATCAACAACAGCTGAGATCTGTGCCGAAAGGTCTTTTTCTCTGTCACGTAATTCCCCAGCCTGTCCAAAATTTTCTGTTGTCAGCTTAATTGATGAAAGCTTTCATACTAACATAAGACATTATTTGACAGTCTACTCATTAACTCTGATATCAATTTCACTCTAGAAAGCACTTGAAATTTTATAAATATTTCTAGCAGCAACTTCTTTTGACAACCCTAACATTTGATTTGGTTGTTTAGAAATCTAGCATGCATACCAATGCAAAGTGCTTCAGCAACAGAATTGTGTACCTTTTCCAACTCTGATATCAATTTCACTCTAGAAAGCACTTGAAATTTTATAAATATTTCTAGCAGCAACTTCTTTTGACAACTACCTAACATTTGATTTGGTTGTTTAGAAATCTAGCATGCATACCAATGCAAAGTGCTTCAGCAACAGAATTGTGTACCTTTTCAAAGTCTTGGCTTCTAACAGCCTCATCCTTCTCCTTAGTGATCTGCCTCCGTTCTTTCTCAAGCTCTCTAGCTTCTTCGGGTAGCTGCATAGAACATACAGTATTCCCCAATCAACACCAGCAATCCCAGGGATTAAAAAGACAAGTGGCTATCCAAACCAGAAAGTGAGGTCATACCTGTGCATGACGAAGACGAACTCGAGAACCAGCTTCATCAATCAAGTCAATTGCTTTATCCGGCAGAAAGCGATCACTGAAGTATACACAACCATCAATGAGAACAACATTATTCAATTATAACGCATAGGCAAAAAGAAAGGTAGCCAACACCATTACAAAAACAAAAACAAAAAATAAAAATAAAAAGTAAAAAGTAAATAATTTCCATAAATGGGCATCAGCCATTATCCAGAGGAAGGCAAGCAATTACCAAAGGACATTTTCATTCATCAAAACACTTCCAACATTTAACCATTTTGAATAAATATCAGCAGCATCCATCCAGCATTACATTGCACACAGAAGTAGGGATGCCTACCTGATATACTGGTATGATAGCTGTGCAGCAGATACCAGGGCTTCATCAGTGTAGCGGAGCTTGTGGTGAATCTCGTATCGCTCTCGAAGTCCTCTCAAAATCTGAATGGTTTCATCCACAGTTGGTTCAGGAACTTTGACTGGTTGGAAACGCCTTTCCAAGGCTGGATCTTTCTCTATGTGCTTTCTGTATTCATCGAGAGTTGTGGCACCAATGCACTACACCAATAAAAATTAAACTAACTATTAGGATCCATATGTAAACAGCAGTAAGCTATTCTAAATGTGGCTCCACATATATAATATTTTATAATTTACAATAGCGCAGCCAAATTGATTTCAGTTCATAACAAAAATAGAAAAAATGGTTATATTCTTTCTATCACTTTTTCAAAATTACCTGCAGTTCACCTCTTGCAAGAGCTGGTTTTAATATATTTGCGGCATCAATTGCCCCTTCTGCTGCTCCCGCTCCTATTAAAGTGTGCACCTCATCAATAAACAAAATTATCTCGTCACTTTGTTTAATTTCCTCCATGAGCTTCTTTAATCTTTCCTCAAACTCTCCACGGTACTTTGTACCAGCAACAAGAAGACCCATATCCAGTGTTATAACCTAAAGAGTGGCAAGGTGGGGAAAAGGTCAAATGTATTATTGCATTGTTTTCCAAAACATAACTAGAGGCATTGAAATAGAGGAAACTTTCCAAACAAGGCGACCATATTGAGCCTGGATGTTATGCACACACATAATGTTACATATAATATTGCTGAAAATTACAAATAAACTCTCACACACCTTCTTTCCCTCTATGGTTTCAGGAACATCACCAGTTGCAATCCGTTGAGCAAGGCCTTCTGCAATTGCAGTCTTCCCAACACCAGGTTCTCCAATAAGGCAGGGATTATTCTTAGTTCGCCTACCCAAAATTTGCACAACACGTTCGATTTGAGGTTGTCTTCCAACAACGGGATCCAACTTACCCTGGGAATTGAAGAAAAAATATCTTAAAAACAGGCCTTCAAACAAAAATACAAAAAATCGGAGCACATGCTACTACATAACATAAGGGATATCGGAAAGTTCAAACTAACCTCCTCTGCTAGCTTAGTTAAATTGGTCCCATATTCTTCTAGAGTCGGCATCTTATTACCACTGCTTCCTCCTCCAACACCGGCACCAACAGCCTCTGTGCTCTCACCCACCATACGGATAACCTGCCCACACCAACAAAGTTTTTCATGGTTACTTTCTGATGCTGAATTTATTCAAGAAGAATAACCAAAGAAGGATGATATGCTTGCCTGTGTGCGAATGTTACTAGGGTCAGCACCTAAATTCTCAAGAACACGAGCTGCTACACCCTCACCCTCCCGAAGTAAGCCCAGAAGCAAGTGCTCGGATCCAATATAGTTATGGCCTGAAATTTATCATTTATTGTCCCTTTAGTTAACACAAAAATGAATGTAAACCATTAAAGAGAAGTGAACACATATCAATTTGCATAGAGATCAAAAAGGGTGACCAAGAAACAGGGAATACATAGGAAAGAAAGAAAAGAGCCTAAATGCACAATGAATTCAAAAGGGATTTGCATGGATTCATCCAGTCAACCAAGTCCATGCTACTAATTTTCAAATGTATCATATCTCGCAATGTTTCTTTCAATAACACTACATTTGTCTTCAATTTCATGCATGGACCCTTTAAATATTGGTTAACTCCACAAGGATATTAATGCTTAATACCAAATAGTCCATATACATTGCCACATCTACTAAGGTATACACGTCAGAGTTACCCCACAAACCCAGTACATAAAAATAAGATGCCCTTCAATGAGAAAATAGATGTTTCTTATTAGTTTCTATCAATGTTCTCAAGGCATTTAGAGAACAAGAGAAGGAGAAAGAAAGTTACCAAGTTGGCGAGCTTCCTCCAGTGACAGCTCCAAAACTCGCTTCGCACGAGGAGTGAATGGAATTTCGACAGCAACAAATCCACTACCCCTTCCAATTATCTTCTCCACTTCAACACGTGCATCTTTAAGATTAATTCCCATGGACTTAAGAACCTTGGCAGCAATACCAGTTCCTTCACCGATAAGACCCAAAAGTATCTGCTCTGTGCCAACAAAATTGTGACCAAGTCGCCTTGCTTCCTCTTGTGCAAGCATAATTACTTTAATAGCTTTTTCTGTGAAGCGCTCAAACATGGCTTTAGGCACACATCTGCTAGCCTTTCGACGCCGGGAAGTGATTGCAACTCCCATCTTGGAATAAAAGTCTTGCCCAGGTTTCGCCATAATATCTAAAGCATTAACACTACGGAGTCCTGAGAAACTGCTTATTCTCAATCCAGGTGCTCGTAAAGTACAACACATCTTGACTGTCCTTTTGGCATTTCCCGACCCTTTAG